AAAAGGGGGGGGGGGAGGGACGGAAAGAGAGAAGCTATGTAAAAATGCTTAGATCTTAAGAAACAAAACCCAGAACCTATCATTTTGTCTTTCACATCATTTTGTCATTCGTAAATTTAATACTCATACAGCAGAAATGAGGGATCTGATTATAATAATAGAGATAATATTGCCAAACAATGCATTAAGTAGAGAGTTAATCAGTCATTACTCATGAGAGCAGACCCATTCATCTAAATAACTAAACATACAAGGATTTTTATTCTTTTAAGATTTAGAGAACAAAGTCCTAAAATATGCCAGTTCCATTTCTGTTTAAATTCACACTTGTGCAAGTGAAAGTAGATCTGGACTCGAAAAGTAGACACAGGACATCCTTCAGATGTATTTAAATCTTTATGAATCAGGCAAATATCACAATAAAAGAAATAAATAACTTTTGTTCATTTTTGTCTTGAATAACAGCTAAAAGAACTTCTACTTCAAGGTCAAGGTGAGCATTTCTGTAATTAAAGGAGTATAGAAATGAGCAGATTCTTCACATAGAGAGAACTGTGAAATCTTGAGCATCTGTCTCAAAATCCTGCACACACTTGACTGGAAAAACAGAATATTGGCAAGTTTGTTTTGTTTCGTTTAACTCAGAAGCCAAGGACAACATAAGTAGGACCATTTGTTTTTCTCAGTTCTCCCTCAAAATAAGTTCAAGCCTGAAAAGACCACCTAAAGGTGAGAAATGATTCATCATTCATGCTAGCTCCATTTCCCGCCTCTCTCAAGCAGAAAATCCCACTGTTTTAAGCTATGTGAGATGTGACCACTAAATTAATTTAATCTGAGTCTAATGTCTTGGATTGAACTACAGCCCAGCACCTAAGAGCGCAGTGATTTATCGATTAGACCACACCTAACTTTGATTCACTTGGTTTAAATATATATTTATGATTTTATTTATAATATATTTTTATCTCAGTATTTTAACAACATGACACTGCTAGCCGGTCTAGGGAAGTGACTGTCCCACTCTACACTGTGCAGTGCGGCCTCACCTCAAGTACTGTGTGCCGTTTTGGGTGCCACCG